AGGGTTTCTAATTTCAGACTTTGTCCGTGTGAGACTTAGGATCTCAAACATGTCTTTAGAGGGGGGTTCTGTGGGGAGGGGGACGTTGTAAAAGGATAATCTATAAAAGGGACTGGAGGGGTGTGAGGAGCAGCCAACGAACAAGATGTCAGGGGAAGAGGACTTTTATCTGTTTGAGAACACCTCCTCGGTGGGGCCATGGGACGGGCCTCAGTATCACATTGCCCCTGTCTGGGCCTTTCATCTCCAGGCAGCCTTCATGGGCTTTGTCTTCTTTGTAGGGACACCACTCAATGCCATAGTGCTGGTGGCCTTACTGCAATACAAAAAGTTGCGACAGCCACTCAACTATATTCTGGTCAATGTGTCCCTGGGGGGCTTTCTCTTCTGCATCTTCTCTGTCTTCACTGTCTTCATTGCCAGCTGTCATGGATACTTCCTCTTTGGCCGCCATGTCTGTGCTCTGGAGGCCTTCCTGGGCTCTGTGGCAGGTATTCCAGGGGAAGGGAACTACGGGAAGGTAAGGGAAACTACTCCAGGATTGGAGCAAGGGGCTGGACTTTTAGGGTGGAGGGGTTCCCTAAGGCCACGCAAGAAGTTTGGCTCAAATAATGTTTGAGTCTTAATTCTAAACATTGTTCCAAACTTGTCTCTGGGTGTGCTCCACACCACCTGTACTCTACTCTGCTGGCCAAGCCGGGTGAGGCTCTGTCCACCCGATTCTTCTCACATTTTGCCACAGGTCTGGTGACAGGCTGGTCACTGGCCTTCCTGGCCTTTGAGCGTTACCTTGTCATCTGTAAGCCCTTTGGCAACTTCCGCTTCAGCTCCAAGCACGCACTGATGGTGGTCCTGGCTACCTGGGTCATTGGTATTGGCGTCTCCATCCCACCCTTCTTCGGCTGGAGCCGGTGAGAGCACAGAGTGGTGCTGACTAGGAGCTCTATGGGTGTAAGAGAGGCTGGGAGTGGGCTTTTAGTCTTCAATGGGATAGGCTAGATGAAAGGGCTAATGAGCGTCATTATTTACTCTGTAACTTCTGGTGGAAAAAAAAACAACAAAAAATCTCCTGGCCTGAAGCCTTCTGGCATTCTTTGGGCTCTAAATGGAGAACACAATCCAGGAGTCTCAGCTCCCACTCCATGAATTCTCCTGAGAACCCAGAGTTGAGCAAGTGCTTGGTCTTTTGCAGGTACATCCCTGAGGGCCTGCAGTGCTCCTGTGGCCCTGACTGGTACACTGTGGGCACCAAATATCGCAGCGAGTACTACACCTGGTTCCTCTTCATCTTTTGCTTCATCGTGCCTCTCTCCCTCATCAGCTTCTCCTATTCTCAGCTGCTGAGGACCCTCAGGGCTGTGAGTGGCTTTTGAGAGGGTCAGGGGGGCACCAGGTGAGAGGGAAGAATGGGTGGATGCTTTAGATGTCTGGAAATGTCCACAGCCAGACAGAGGTCCATCTTATAGTGAAGGATGTGGGGCTAGGAGAAAAGACAATGAAATGAAGAATAAGGTGAAATCATCCCTGCTCAAACAGGTGTCAAAAGACCTATGTGGTGTGATCAAAATATACAGTGATTTTTGTTTTGTTTTGTTATGAGACAGGGTTTTGCTATGTAGTTCATCCTAGCCTTGAGCTATGTAACCCAGGCTGGCCTTGAACTCACAGCACTGCTCCTGCCTCACCTGGTACTACAGACGTGTACCACCACACCAAGCACAGTGAATGTTTAAATTAAAGAAAATGCTACTGTAAAAGGCACATTGTCATTAACCCCCCTCAAATCCCTTTGAACCCACTTGTATCCCATCACACTCTTGCCACTTTGTGAAGCAGTTCTGGAGGTCCTCTTCCACAGTGAATACTGCCACCAAGTGCCACCCAATGGAAAAATCAGGCTCATGAGATCATTACTGTATGTCCTCATCCACCTTATTCACTGGGTCTGGCACTGTGACTTCTGGCTCTTTCCCAAAGTAAAAAATGACCACAAAAGGTAAACATTTTGAACAAATTCAGAATCCCAAAGCAACCACAACAGTGCAACCAAAGACATAAAAGAAGACCTCCAAAACTGCCAAGAATGATGGGTAAGTGCATTCAAAGCGAAAGGAAATATTTTGAGGATTAGTGGTAGTTTTACTGTAATAATTGTAACCACTTACCATGTTTTGATCATGCCTCATATGTATGTGATCTCTTCCAATGTGGCAGACCAGAGAGCCTCTCCATTTGCCTTCCTGAAGGGAGGACAGCCAAAGGAATCTGGGCAGAAGGGAGGCAGAGTAGATGTTCCCAGTAGAAAGATCTGGGCGTTCTGGGCCAGAGATGTGATACTCTCTGGCTTCTGCCCCAGGTGGCAGCTCAACAGCAAGAGTCAGCTACAACCCAGAAGGCTGAACGGGAGGTGAGCCGCATGGTGGTGGTGATGGTGGGATCCTTCTGTGTCTGCTATGTGCCCTATGCTGCCCTGGCCATGTACATAGTCAACAATCGTAACCATGGGCTGGACTTACGGCTTGTCACCATTCCTGCTTTCTTCTCCAAGAGCTCCTGTGTTTATAATCCCATCATCTACTGTTTCATGAACAAGCAGGTAAAGCTATTTCCAAGAAGCCCTATTCTTCAAGACCCTGGTTCTTTCCCATCAATGACTTTTAGCCTAGACCACTCTGGACTCTAGGTTTCTAGAGGCAGAAAAGGGAAGGCACAGAAATGCCAAGTAAACACCAAATAGATCAGAAAGTCCTTGGTAAACCCAGGGAGGATAGAACTTGAGCCAGAGTAGAATAAGAAATGAAAAGGACTTTTGTTGAATAGTTCTAAATTTCCGGCATTTTACAAGTTATTAATCCTTTCCCTTCCAAATTCTGACCTACAGGAACAAGTAGTTTTAGATTGGAATTCTGCTCATTTTCAGGATGAGGAAGACACGTTCAAAACATGAGTGGATCCTGGGGGCTTTGGGGATGGAATTAAAAGTCCTCCCGATACTTTTCGGGGGGGCGGTGGTTGAGGCAGGGTCTCTCTTTGTAGGTCAGGTTGGCCCTGAACTTACTATGTAGCCCAGGCTGGCCTTGAACTTGAGGCGATCCCCCTGCCTCAGCCTCCCAAGTGCTGGGATTACAGGGATGCATCATCACACCTGGCACTTCTTGATTTTATTGCCCCTTATTGTTCCATCAAGGGGACCATCTCCAGTCCTGCCTTTCCTTCCAGTTCCGAGCTTGTATCATGGAGTTGGTGTGTAGGAAGCCCATGGCAGATGAATCTGATATGTCCAGCTCCCAGAAAACAGAAGTTTCTGCTGTCTCTTCTAGCAAAGTCGGCCCCAACTAAGTACCCCACATTGGACTGTTTACAACAAAGAGACTCACATTTATGTAAGATTCTATTTTCTTCATCAAAAACTACTAATACATATAGGGTGGGGGAGGTTGGACAAGGAGTGGCAGTTAATTGTTCATTTTCCTGATATTCCCTCCCTGCCTACAGAGCTGCTGTTCTCAGCTGGGTCTACTCACCACCCAAAGGCCATTTCAACAACCATCAGTTTCTACCCATGAGTGGCACCTACTTAGAGAACTATGTATGAGTGTTGAGTTTTCAGTATGGCTAACTTATTTTCCTTTACAGTAATTGATTTTTGCCTTTCTAGGGATCTGGTCCAAGGTGATGTATTCTGAATAGGAATGAACTTAAGAAAATACCTTAGACACGTGTTTTGCTAGAGATGGAACCCAGGGCCTCATGTGTGCTAGAGCAACTACATTACAATGAGCTACATTCAGCCCTAAGAAAGCACCTTTGAAGTGGGAGGGACATAAAGAAAAAAGAAACAAACCCAAAAGAGTCCTTGATAAGCCTCAAATGTAAGTTTGAGATTACTTCCTTATGTTGGCTCTGCCAAGAGGTCTCCCAGCTCCAGCTAGGGCAGCCCTATCTGCAAGGTCCTGGGCCAGGGTGAATTATTCTAAGTGCTTCTCTCCTGTGTTCCTTTTTAGCTGTACCAGTATGTCTTACACTAATAGCTCAATTCCCTTGACATCCTTAAAATTATGTTACACGTGTTATCACCATTTATGTAGTATACCAAAGTGATTTTTTTTTTTTTTTTTGTATTTTGAGACAGGGTCTCATTATATAGTTCATGTTGACCTCATATTCAAGGCAATCCTCTTGCCCCAGCCACTCAAGTGCTGGGATTACAGGTATAGGCCACCATGCACAGCTTTCAAAGTGACTTTTTAAAAAGCTTTACTTTGTAGTCTTTATCTTCCTTCAACTCCTCTCCCCTGCAAGAGACTTGCTGAGATAAAAACCAAGATAAAAATGTGTACATCTATCACACAAAGAATGGCTTGTGTTGGTATCAGGTAATTATGTAACAGAGTACTTGGTGATCTCGCCACCAGGAAGCAGAGAAGGGTTATGGCTCATGAGAGGATGCTGAGGCAACTGTTTGGGGACAGCAGGGGTATGGTGAACCTTTTAGGAGAATGTCCTTTCTGTAATATTTCTATAGCACATATAATTATAAGGTAAAGTTCCACTTCCTTTTGTTTTAGTGATGCTGGGTGTTGAACTGAGGCCTCACACATGCCTGGCAAGTGCTTTACCATGGAGCTATCCCCAGCCACTAGAGTTCTAAGAGAATGAAGGACACATATCCCATGACGAATGTAAATAGTTTTATTTAGAAACAGATAGGTACCTGTTTTCATTATAGAATATAAAACTTGGTTTACACTCTATAAAAAATAACCAATATCCAAATTCAAGAGAGCTAGCACTCATAGAACACACTACAGGTGTGCATCTATAGTTCACCCACCTCAGGCTTGATTTAAACCAAAAACAACAAAGAACACCAAAAAATCCAAGGGGTTCACAGAGATGAGAGTACAATGCTTGTGGCTGAGTCCCCCACATACAGAAGCTGCTGTCCTAGCAGACTACAGTTTACTAAATTGTGGTTTTCACATCAAGCCCGGGATTTCTGCACCTAGTGAGCTGCAAGGTTGTCTTGCCACACAGTTCATGATGTGCCCTCTCTAAGCCAGGTTGGTGGCATTATTAATTATCTCTGGTCTTTTCAACAGTAAAAAGGGGAAATCTGCAAGGGCAGAGAAGGTCAATGACTCTCTGTTGGGGTTAAACCTGACAACTGCAGCCACTCTCAAGAGCTCGATGCAAGGCTGGGTGAAGTGACGTGACACTGGCTCTACCCCACACCGAGTAGCCCACCTCACAGGACTGTGGAAGACCAGAGGTTCAGAAATAATCACCACCCAGACCACCCAAATGCATTATCCAGAGATATAGGAAATAATAAAGGTTATATATACATATTTATCTTAGTAACCTGAGGGCTAGAAACTTGGGATATAATTCTCAAAAGAGGCCCACTGATAAGAAAGGGACCAGAATACACAGCGTTCGTTACATAAAATATGGATAAAATGGAGTTGGAAACAGGGCAGTTTCTTTAGCTCCTTCTACAAGGTCCCACTCTTTGCTAGGGCTTGGCCAACTGTTGATCCAGGTTAAACGTTTTTGTTTCCTTTTGGAGGAAGAGTGGGTGTGTGAAGGAACAAATGTAATGGTCAAGGGCAGGAAAGGTGAGCAATGGTCCTCAAACCAAAGAGCCCTCTCTTCTTAGGTCCTTTCACCCCTGTGTCTGAGCTCACACTCTCTGGCAGACAGAGGTGCCTAGTAGTGAGTGGTTTGCATTCTGAGGTATGAGGATCCCTGGTGAAGTCAGCAGCATGTGGTTCTCAGAAACCAGCCCACAAGATAAGAATACTACAACCAAGCTTGTAACTAATACTGGTATTTAACTACTGTCAAAAGAGAAAAGGAAGGAAAAAAATCCCCACTATATTGGAAAGTTCTATGTTTTCATATAAAATTGACCAAATACTGTATTTTATCTTAGGTTTCCTGCACAAATTCTCATTGAATGATCATTTCTCTTATTAAAGGCACTTTCAATGACATGATTGGAAAGGAGTGATTTTCAACTGCAGCGAAACCAAGGTTAATTAATTAATTCCCAGGGAAGAGGAGATGGATGCAGCACTTATAGTGATTTCAACAGGCAAATAATTATGTTTGGAGCATTTTGACAGATGCACACTCACAAAAAAAAAAATCTATGCCCTGAACACATTTGTATTTTTCACTTAGTTTTCCAGCTGTTTCTAGCTGGAAACAGCTCTATTAAGAGCTAGAAATAGCTCTGTAAAGAGAACACACTACTTGATTGATTTTCAAGTCATTGGCCCTAACTCTTCCGACCACAGCTGTGCTTTACAAAATTAGCAAGTAGCTAGTCCTATAGGGGAAAAAAAGAATGAAGTTGATCCAAGCTTTCTTATAGCACAAGGCTCTATCCCTGCCCAGATAACAACAGGATCAGCTGCTGGACCCATAGCAACTGAAGTATGTGGCCCTACTACTTGTGAAATGCTGGACCTTTCAAGAGGCAAGATTATCTCTTTAAACATAAATTGTGGAGCATATAGTTTTCCTTTTTCTCTCCTGAACATATTCTTATTGATCTCAGGCTTTAAAAATTAGTTAAATGAGCATTATAAAAATTACATGATAAGGGAGTGACAAAAGAGTAAAGGTTAATGTTTGCCTACATGTGTGGATTGAGGATCTTGATCCTTCATATCATACTCCCAACTAGAGAACAAATACAAAAATAAGTACACCGTGTTAGACATTATACAAAGTGTAACTCTACAAACACAAGTGTACTAATTATAGAATTGTTCCTTAGAAGCAGTTTTTCCTCCAGTCCTTGAGGAGGAGGAAGAATGGGGATGGGATGGTTTTCATTACGCCTTTTCATGTCTGAAAAGTTTGTAATAACAGTCTCAGTAGCGCAAACAATTTCATATGAAACCAGAAGCTGTAAAAATAAATTACTTTTGAAGAGATGTAGGTTCCTCTTTATGCCGCTCAGAATTCATCATGTCGTACTAAGGCCTCCCCAAAATCTGTGGCCTGGCTGCCCACAAATAAATCATACTTGTCGACAATCTCCTCCTTCGTAAGCTTGCCATCCTGAAGTTAGAGAAAGCAGTGAATTGAGGCAGAATTATTTCCCATCCCAAAATCAGAAACACTGCTATAGAATAATAGCAGTTAATTAGGATTTAAGATTTGAATTCCCACTAAATGTGAACTCAGCCCTCATCTTCTCACCCCTACTAAACACTCACATGCACACACATGCACTCGTACACATATATGCATGAACACACACTCCCACAAAAGGGAAGAAGATAATGTTTCTCTTATCAAGAAAGTTAAGAGTGGAGGGTGGGGGGAAAAATGTAAAAAGTGAAAGGATGAACATAATATAGCTTAACTCAGAGAGATACAGAGAGGAGCAATCTCTTTCTTTAGAGTAAAACATGGGATGTGTGCTAACATGGATGAGAAAAGGTCAGTAACCACTGCGCAAAGACTTCAAAGTGAATCAAATTACAGTCTAACAAGAACAATGAAACGTGTCAGTATCTAGCCTAGTCTGCACCTCCCTTCTGTCCTCACAGTCACCAACCCAAACAAAGGCCCACACACTCATTTTAAACAGTACCAAGATTCCCAAGGGACAACTGTTCATACTGCCTTTTCTCCAACAGCTTGGACTATGGCACCTGGCTATTTAAGAGACTGAACAAGAACTCAAAACAGATCAACTCTTAAAAAGGCTCTAAGGCAGCAATGGCAAGCCTTTTAGAACTTTCAGTGATAACAAATAGCCCGCAGTGGCACACATGCCATAGGTTCACCACTACTGCTTCAAGGTAAGAAACTACAGGTTAGCTTAGACTAATTATTTTAGGTAGAGGATTCAAATCTGCAAAAAGGTGACAGGGCTTAGTGATAACACTACTCTTGATGAACTGAATGTCTGAGACAACTGATCAAGAACAATTTTAATAAGTTCCAGAGTAAAGCTGTTTTATAACTTACTATAGAGGATTTGATTTTTTTTCTTTTTGGTACCGGGGATTGAACTTGTGCTTGCGAGGCAGGTGGCGGCACCACTGAGCTAAATCCCCAGCCTGAGGATTTGATTTTTAAAGAAGACAATAATCAATTTGAGCAGACAGAATGAACCTTAAAAGGTAAAATGACAAAGGAAATAACAACAAAAAAAGCAAGAAAATTTCCTGGGGATCCAAAGATAACAGGGGATACATGCTGGTACAGCCTATATAGAGAAGCTCTTTTCTGAAACCCAGATTCGTCCAACACTAAGAGCACCGGGCAGAAGGATTTCTAAAATGAGATCAGATAGCGAGTGCTGCCTGGAAAGTTTTCAACAGCCAAATTTAGATCCTTAGCAGACCTGGGCTAATTAAGACCTTAAATGCTCTATGTACATTGACAAAACTTTTTTACGCAATCCCCTAGAAACAGACTTTGATCACTGCTACATAGCTTGAGCCCGGTCAGACTTACCTTATTTTGGTCTGACTCATAGACAAGGTGCCTGGCTTCTGCTTCTGCATGGTCATAGTCTGAAGGGAGGATCCAGTCTTTGGTCTCTTCCTTGTCCATCTTCCCATCACGGTTCTTATCACGAAACTCAACAAACTGCTCTCGCTCTGTCTTCACCCATTCTGGCTCATCAGCATTTCCATCATGGCTGTACATGTCACCTATGTGCATGGAAGTACATAGCAAAGAGTCTGTCTTCTCCCAAAGACTGCTGCATACTAATTCAGCTTAACTGTTTTTCTCATCCATCTGTTTGGAACCTTAATTACACAGTTATAACTACAGTTACACAAGTATCTTAGGAAGGAGAGATCTAAGAAAGCAAGCTATCTTTCTGGGGCTTAATTACTGATCTTGCAACAAGAATCTGTTGATTGCTGCAGCTATTGTTTGGGAGTGACATAAAAGCAAGGAGAATCTTATCATCTTAAAAAATGTAGACATAAGAAAAGTTGACTAGCACCAAGAAAAAAAAAGACTGGTTGTTCCTTACATGTCATATCAAGTAGCTGATTAAACTGGACCACTGGCTCCAGAAGATGCAATTTTAAATTCTCAAGGAAACTTGAAGTGTATGTTATAAGCCCAAACTGTCTACCAACCAATTACTACACCCAAAGTGCATTATATCAGTGGTCTTCAGTGAGGACAAGCATGTCCCTGGGCAAAGCAGAACACTGTCATGGAATAAAATGAGCAGGGACAGTCGTAAGAGAATCAAAGCCCAGATCCTCAACTTCCACATACAGAGTTCCCTAAAAAATTATCTGTGAAAGACAATAGCTCTGGCCTTCAATGCTTCTTTGCTGGACCTCCTTTCCCAATCACCTTTTCCTCACTGTATAACAGAGGGCATACTGTGAAACTCTCAGCTGTTGTGAAACGTATCAGGGAATAAAAATTTCCTGGGTAATGAAAAAAGAGACTATTAGAAATATTAGTGCTAGTCTTGAGAAAGTAGATGTCTGAGCAAAATGGAAGTCTAGAGGTTTCTAATTTGTTTTTTTCAAAAAACTGAAAGAGCAGGCTGGGGATTTAGCTCAGTGGTTCTGCCACCTGCTTCACAAGTGTAAGGTCCTGAGTTTGATCCCAGTTTTTAAAAAAATCCAAAAACCAAAACCAAAACTGAGAGTCTGAATTTTAGCTATGAGATCATTTAAAAACAATTTTTGGTGAGTGATGTGATTTTTCACTTATTACTCAAACAGAGTTTTCAAAAACTGACAAAGCTGTAACAACTCTTCCATTCTCATCAACCTATTTATTAAACAAGGTCTTGCAGCACTTCCTCTAAAACAATGAAAACTAAGAGTTGATGCAGAAACAGATTTCAATGCAGCCACAGTTGTCATCCATGAATAGACAACTACTTGAAAAAAATATGTGAAAAAATGGAAAAAGTGTTTGTAAATAGGGAAGGGAGGAGGGGATGAAGGGAGGGCAGGGGTAAGGGAAAAAAATGAGAACCAAGACCTGTCATGTAAAGGTACAAGATACCAATGATGAATGTAACTGTACTGTATACCTAAATTGTACCAATAAACTCAATAAGAAAAAAAAAGATGAAAATGAACTTGTTATAGTAAATGTTACTCTGTTCAACTACTTAACAGAATAGCTTAGTCCTTTTTTTTCAAGGCAATACTATTTCTGGTCCACTTTGTGACTGGTAAGTGGAATAAACACATTCTCAAATTTCCTCTAAAATTAAAAAAACAAATGCAATAATCTTAATAGGTACATGGATTTCATTAAACCAAATGTCATTAAAAATATATGTAGAACAAGGAATGACTTCCTTTTTAATTGTTAAATGTAAACAGCAATATTAAGTGCTTTCAGTATTCTAGGCATCATGATAAGGATTTTACTTACAGTCCACAAAACTCCCATTTAACCATCATCAAACCTAATAATTATCTAGCTTTTGCCACACATGCTTCATCTGTCCCTTTTTCTTTTTCTCCCCTGAATTATCCTAGGGCAAATCCCAAGTATGATTTTACCTCTATGTATCTTACAATGTACCTCTAAAAATTATGGGTATTTTCTCATACAGTATGGCCATAATGCTATTATTATATCTTATAAATCAATTCTGATTATCTTTTTAAAGAGTCTTTGTTCAAATTAGTCATACAGTAGGTAAGAATTTGATGTTATTTTTATTAAATTGTATTTGTCATTTAAATTTTAGAGATTTCAGAATTAAGGTATTTATAAATGTCAATATTTACAACCAGAGATTAATTATTCTTTACAAATGTTTAAGGTTCAAATGAAATATTTTGGATGCCCACTTTATTTTTTGAAACAGGATTTCATGTGTGTTGCAGGCTGTACTTGAACTCATTACATATCCCAAGATGGCGTCAAAACTCAGGGTAATCCTCCTGCCTCAGCCTCCTGAGTACTGGGATTACAGGCATGGGCCACCATGCCCAGCAGATGCTAATTTAAAAACACACAGAGGCCAGGGATGTAGCTCAGTGGCTCCATGCCTGCCTGGTAAGCATAAGGTCCTGAGCTCAATTCCCTAGTACTAAAAAACCAAAACCAAAACCAAACCATACGAAGAGAATGCTGTTTGCCAAATTTTTTAGGAGTTAAGAGAACATATCTGAAGACTCTTGAGTAATACTTGATCTAAGTATCTGCACCTGTGTCTCTTATACGGCATGAGCACACACCTACCAGAAGCCTAGTTTCTAGCAGCTCTAGACAAAGGGGACCATTTAGTCAGTATTGTCTTTTTTTCTGAAACTTGAGGGTGAAGGACAAAATTACTCTCTCTCTTAATATCAAAGAAATTCATCAGGAATTCAAAACTTGCCCCCTTCCCCACCTCACATTCAGAAAATGTAGTATCTGTACATAGTCACTGGGTCAGGGCCCTGTACTCGCTACCTGAGGGTCAGGAAGACTTATTCACAGTATTGACTGGGAAGTTTTGAATGAGAGAGAGGATGGATGTATGCTTAAAAGATACAATTTTAACAGAAGCTAGAATTTACCATAAAACACTGGATAAGTACAGATGATAAAAATACAGTATTTATTTATTTTTGATACTGGGGATCGAACTCGGGATCTTGTGCTTGTGAGGCAGGTGGCAGCACCACTGAGCTAAATCCCCGGCCCCAAAATAGTATTTACATTACTACTTAAAAGGAATTCCATCTTTTGGATAATATTAAGGAACTATTAACTGTTTTGATTGAGATTATCTTGAAGAAAATTTTTAGGAATATGCATGTATCTTAGAGATGCATAACCAAATGTTTACAGACGAAATGAAATAAGATGTTCTTCAAAATATGAAAAGAAATAAAGAAGAGGATGAGACAGAAAAGATGACTGAGGGTTGACAGTTACTAAGGCAGAGGGACAGGGGCTCATTACTCTTCTAATTTTGTGGGTCTGAAATGCTCTATAAAAAAATTAAACAGTATAAATCTGGGTATTTCTTATTAATGCTACATATAAGAGGTGAAGAACTTCATATTCACTCCTCAACAGGGAAGAAACTGGCACACAAAACTCCTCTGGCTCTTGTAACTAGATGGTGTGGAGGGAGACAGAAATATCCCCTTATGTGGCAAGTGATGGTACTCAACAGTGATAAACCTTAAACCCTCTCTGGAGGGTTGGGCGAGTGAGTTCGTCACTTTTAACAATGCTGATAAAGTAGCAAAGGCCAAGAATAAAAATGATAAAATATTTAAAGTAGAAAATCCTATAACTGTCAACTTGGGTCAGAACATATACTCAGGCATTTATCCACTGTCCTGATTGAACTCTGTTAAAAAATCATTTTGGGAAAAACCCTATTCTCCATTTCTCAATCTGTCTTCCCCTAATACATATGATTAAACAATGTCTAAGGAAAGGAGTAGCTTTGATCAATGCAGATTAGATGACAGAGGCAGACCTTAATTCTCCCTTTCAGACTTAAGAGAACTATTTCATTTCAGGTAAAAATCAGGGGTCTAAAAACAAATGGATCATCTGAAACAGAAAACCAGTGGTTCAGTAAATAAGCTGCTAGGCACAAAAAAAATAAGAATGTAAATTAACAAAGGAACAGAAGAGAGAACTCAGAAATAAGTCTACACATATACAACCAAGTGATATTCTATACTAGGGTAAAAAAATATATCAGAGAAAGCATAGCCTCTTTAAGTGGTGCTAGGGAAATCAGGTACTTGTATGTAGAGGACTGAAAATTTCTCTCTCTCTCTCTCTCTCTCTCTCTCTCTCTGTCTCTCTTAAGACAGGGTCTCACTATGTAGTTGAGACTGATCTGGAACTCACTATGTGGCCTAAGCTGGTCTCAAACTCACAGTGATCCTCCTGCCTCAGCCTCCCGAGTGCGGGGATTACAGGCATGTGCTATCACACCCAGCTTTTGACCTCGATCTCTTAACACACAAAAATCAAATCAAGGGCTGGGAATGTATCTCAGCGGTGCCATGTCTGCCTGGCAGGTGCAAGGTCCTAAGTTTGATTCCAGGTACCAAAAAAAAAAAAAAAAAGTTAAAAAAAAAAAAGATTTAAATGTACAACCTGAATAAAAAAGCATAAACACTTGCACAGGTAACAAATGGGATTTTTATCAAACTAAGAAGCTTCTATACAGAAAAGGAAATAATCAGCTGAAGAGTGAAGGAACAACCAGCAGAACAAACGAAAATAACTGCAAACTACTCACCTGACAAGAGATTAATACTCAAGATATACAAAGAACTCAAACAACAGCAGGATCAAAAAATAATCCAGCCAAAAAGTGGCAAAATCTGAATAGACATTTCTGAAAAGAAGATATACAAATGGCCAGCATACATGAAAAAGTGCTCAACATCACTAATCCTCATGGGAATGTAAAAAACAAACATGTAACACAAGGGGTGTCATCCCAGTTAGAGGGGCTATATAAAAAGATAAAAAATAACAAACACTTGTGAGGATGTGAAGAAAGGGAAACTCTTATATACCATACCACTGATGGAGATATGAGTTAGCAATCATTATAGAAAACAAAATGGAAGCACTTAAAAACTAAAGTTAACACATAATTGAACCATTCCACTAGTGAGTACATACCTAAAGGAAAAAGAGACACGCTATTGCAGCATTATTCATAGTAGCCAGGACAGGGAACTGGTTGAGATGTCCACTAACAGATATATAAAGTAAATATGGTACAAGCCAGGTGTGGTAGCCCATCTCTGTAATCCCAGCACCCGGGAGGCTGAGGCAGGAGAATGACCCTGAGTTTGCGGCCAGCCTGGATAACATAGTGAGTTCAAGGCCAGCCGGAACTATACAGTGAGATTTGTCTCACCAGCCCCACAAAAAGTATTTTTACACAATGGATTGCTATTCAACCATAAAAATAATGAAATCCTGTCATCTGTAGCAACATAGGTAGAATTAGAGGACATACACTTTATATAAGCCAGGCACAGAAAGACAAATACTGCCTGTCCTCATTCACTAAGTGGAAGTTTAAAAATGTTGGACTCATAGAAGAAAGAAGAGTGATCCTGAGAAGCCAGGAAGGTGTGCCAGTTAATTTTAATTGTCCACCTGAGTCTCTTAGGTTCCCTCAACTGTTTACCATCAATCCCACATGCAACATGGGATATATGATATCTCTGCTACACAGAATAGTAGCCACTGGCCACAGGTAGCTATTGCTATTGAGCTCTTGGTATGTGGCTAGTCCAAACTGGGATATGCTATCTATATATGTGAAGTCTTAAAAAAAAACCCTCAGTGATCTACACTGATAACAACTGGAGATTATACTACCTTCAGAATATCAGACTAAAAGTACTTTTTTTTGTTTTTGAGATGGGGACATGCTGTGTAGTTCAGTTCAAGCTGGCTTTGAACTCACATCAATTCTCCTGCCTTAGCCTCCCTGAGCACTGTCACATTTTTTTTTTGGTACTGGGGATTGAACTTGGGTCTTTGCGCTTGTGAGGCAGACACCACTGAGCCAAATCCCTGGCCCCCTAAAATACATTCTTGTTAATTTCACTTGCTTTTTACTTTTTAATGTGGCTATTAGAAAAATTAAAATTATGTATGTGACTCATATTTCTATTATAGTGGACACTGTCGCTAGGGATACTTACTTTATCACAATCCACTGTTCATCACACTGAACTAGCATAAATATCTGGTAAAAGTTGACCTAAGGGGCAAATTGTTTCTATGGAGGATTACATTTTAAGTGTCTCAGTATCTTCTAAGAAAAATACTAGATGGCACACGCCTATAATTCCAGCAACTGAGAGACTGAGGCAGGAGGATTGCCATGAGTTTGAAACCAGTCTGGACTACATAGTAAGACCATCTAAAAAACCCAAAACCCAAAAACCAAACCAACATAAAAAACCCTAGAAAGAGGCACTTACCAATATACTCTTCTAGATCAATGAAACCATCAGCATTCTTATCTATATCCTCCATTGTTTCCTAAACAGAAAAGAATAAGAAACTCATTAACTTATCTCTGCCTGAATGTGCCCATAAGAAAGTACGGTTGTATCTATATAATTAAAACCATAGAAAGTAGGGCTGGGGATTTAGCTCAGTGGTTCCACTGCCTGTCTTGCAAGCTTAAGGACCCAAGTTCAATCCCTGGAACAAAAACCAAAACAAAACAGAAAAAAAACATAGAAAAGTAATGCACTTCTAGCTGGAAAATGGTTGAATATTAGCAATGTCTTGTGCTTCAACCTAAGATAACTAAGAGTCTTCTTGGAAGAACACTGACACTGCTTGACAAGGCTAGCTGTAATCAGGTGAGGTCCGAGTTACAGGAGATATGACCAGCGATGATGCCCATTACTCTAATCTATGTTACTGACAATTGCCTTCTGTGAGAATTCTGACTACTGCTCATAAAAAGGACTTCCTTCCATTCTTACTTTATGAAATTACCACTGAAGTGGCAAATAAATAATCTGATGGAAAGTATTATTTTGTTAAACGGAAAACCTAAGGCACCTAAAAAAGTGATGGTGCTTAGATTCTAAATCTAGCCAGTACTTATATAGCAAATCATTCTTCCAAGCATAGAAGAAAGGCTAAAGAGGAGGGCTGGCATAGGCAAAAGCACAGAGAGTCCTATTCAGAATTCCTGACCGCACCCACCTGCACTACTATGTCTTTCATGTAGTCATACTCTTCAGGGTGCAGGAAAGCTGTGAATTCCTCCTTTGTGGCAATGAGGTCTCCATCTTTGTCTGCCATCTTAAACCTCCTCTCATCTCTTACCATCATCTGTTTGTAGTTAAATCCATCATCAGGGTCTGGATCATCTAGAAAACAAAAAAATTACATCAAATCCATAGGACCCTTCTAGTAAACATGGCAACATGTAGGATGTTGAATCAATCTCCAAGAAAGATAAACAAAGCAATGCAGAAATAACTCTTGAATCCACAGGTAAAATTAAATCAAGCAATCCAGAAATAACTTGATTCCACAAGCAGCACCATAGAGACATTTAGTTTGGGGCTTAAGCTCCTGTGATTGGCCCTTGAGTCAGGTTTAAGCACAGTGTAAATGTTTGCCATTCAGTATGGAACTCTGGCTCCTGGATTACTCAACAGGTACTGCTTCACTGTTGTTGGTGTTAAGGCTGATGGAAGGTTCAAATTTCCTAGTTATATTCTGGAGGTAGTGGCTGTTGCTAGCTGTACGTTCTTGGACAAGTAACTTAAGTCGTGTGAGTCATTGCGCCTCAGGTTCCTTATCTGTAAAATGAGAATAATAATGGTGCCTGCCTCATACGGTTGTTATGAGAATAAAATCTAAGCTAAGTGCTTAAGAAGATGCCTGGCATATAGTTGGCATTCAATAAATGTCAGCTATTGCTATTTTTATTAAACATTAGGCTCCAGTAAGAAGCTAGATGTCAAAGGAGTTCTGTCCCATTTTAAGGACACTTGAATTCAAGCAACAGACCATCACTTTGAAAGGTCATATTCTTTTTCACCCACCCAGCCAGCCTAGAAATCTACCAAGATTTCTACATTTCTACAATCAACAATCTATAAGCACTGCAGATTTCTACATTTCTACAATCTATAGGCACTGTTCATTTTCACTTATATGAAATTCTAGAAAATGAGAACTAATTTAGAGTTATAAACAGAAAGGAGGTCAGTGGTTACTAGGAACAGGAGCATAGGGAGATGATACATGAGCAAATTCTGGAGGGTGATAGGTATCATCTTGATTGCAGTGGTTTCACTAGTGTGTGAATATATATATATTCATTTCAAGAACTCATTGTGTATTTAAATTTGCAGTGTACTGTATGTCAATTATACCTTGATAGAGCTGTTAGGCCCTTTATTCAATCCCCAGTACTTCCCCCAAAAAGGCACTATTTTTGATAGTGTAATTAGATCTTCCCATACATTAAGCACAATTAAAAAATAATAAAAATTTTAAAATTGCGGTATTTTTGGAGCTATGCAGTTTGAAACTTTGAGTGTCAAAACTTCAGGAAGGCAGCTTACTGAATTATACACAAGTCCTTGAGACCATGTATATGTATATTCAAACCCACATAGGTGGGAGATGGAGAATCTAAGGCAAACACCATCGTTCTTAAACAGTTAAGTCAAGCCTTCTAAACAAATACCAAGTTGCACTATCAACTATGTAACACAGAAGATAACTGAAGCTAACACACCACTTTCAGACTAGATTCTCAGCTAAGAGCCTCATCTCACATATAAAAAAGCGGAAAAAGCAAAATGCAATGCTTTTTTTTTTTTTTTTTTTGGTACCAGGGATTGAACTCAAGACCTCAGGCTTGCCTGGCTGGGCTGCTGAGCTAAATCCCAGCCCTCAATGCTTTACTTTTAAATGACAATTTATATGTCTAGAGCTTTGCTAGGAGTACCATACTTGCATCACTCTATGGCCCTTGGAAGGTCTGTACATAGTGTTGGGTGGGCTTTATTTTTTTTTTTTTTGGTACCAGAGATCAAACTCAGGATCCTATGATTGAAAGGCAGATGTGGTACCACTGAGCTAAATCTCTGGCCCTGGGTGGGATTTTTTTTCCCCCCCTTGGTTTTTTTGAGACAGAGTCTCACTTTGTAGTTGAGACTGACCTGGAACTCACTATGTAGCCCAGGCTGGTCTCAAACTCACAGCAATCCTACCTCAGCCTCCAGAGTGCTGGGATTACAGACATGCGCCACCACGCCCGGCCATAAGTAGCTCTTAATCTAGTCCTGCTCTCTAGTTTTGGATCTTAGTATTTTGTGTATTACCTGTGGCAGACAACGAATTCATGGAGACAGATTTTACTAAGAGGGGAGATGATTTATACCTCAACTCAAAAGTGAATCGAGACATACAAAAACTCTGCACTTGTCTAAGCCAATTCATTACCCACTAGGGTTGTCTACTCACAGGCCTCCAGGGAAAAATGCCTTATAAAGACATTGTTTCTCCAGCCAGTGTTTCAGTTTGTGCATAGTTTCAGGCAGTATAAATACCCATTACATTGAATCATCTGCCCTGTGAGGCAACAGAGCTTTTAACAGATTTTTATGTACATAATCATACACAGTTGAGGCAGCATTCTGGGCAGCAAGTGAGAGCCTAGGTCTGAGCTGAGATTTATTAACAAACCATATTGTTTAGACCACCACTTGCCTACCCTTTGCTTTATATGTATAATTAATTCTGAATGAGTAAGAAGGGTACTGGGTCTCAGCCAAAGAGCAAGAAACATGGGATGCCTCTCCATCTGTACTGGCTTTTTAATACACATGTTCTTAATTGGGTGATGGATATGTTTGCTTCTTGGCTGAGTGTCCAGCACTGAGAAAGAAACTGCCACTTTAGTCTTAGGAATGAGAACACAAAACTAAAGCCCAACATAGAAATAAAAGTCTTTTCACCAGAAAAACATGCATTCTTGCAATTAGCATAGACAGCTGGCTATCTGGCAGGACAACAGACCATTTATACAATCACTTTTAGTGCTGGAGAACTTTTGCGGGAACCTAGAAATATGCCTAATTTCCAGGATAAAAATGCAAAAAGTACCATTTATACATGCTTGCCTCAAATATATCTACGTACAACAGAGAAATCTTGCAAATAAAAACACCCTAGTCACCAATACTCTAAAGTGCCATTTATGTCTTATTTAGCAATAGGCACATGTAAAAGTGGCAAAGAAAATCATTCAGGTGGCCCAAATAAAGAGAAAAGCTTCTAAATCAACAGAAAGCAACTAAAGTAACATTGATTTGCCTTTAAGCATTTGCAAAGCCAGCTAATACACTCATGTGCCAGAGAAGACAAATGGGAAATCTTAATTTCCAAACTCCATAAACAGATGTACTAAAATAGTTCAAGTTTATCAAGGAAAGCTATTTTATCTGAATTTTATTTTAGTAACTAAAGGCAATAATTTTCCTCCTATTCTTACCAGTTATAAAAAAATCTGTTTTGGTTTGAATTTTGACAATGTCAAAAGACACCTTAAGGCCTCTTGCTTAGCACTGTTGGAATAAGGTAGCCTTTTAATGAGTCATTCTCCAAAAATTGTTTCTATGAGAGATTATAGGAAAAAAACTGGTAAAATATATCTGCAATGCTAAAGATGTAGAAGATGCCAAGCTTCAGCAAACCAAAAAATTTAAATTTAATATATAAATTAAAAATTAATAAAAAATGGAACCAGCTCAGCTGGAACTGTTTAAGATAGGCACAATTTCTTCTCTTCCTTTACTGAGTGACCCATTTGTTTCTTTGACTCAAGACCATGGTCTCGGCCAGACTGACATCTCGCCCCTTACCCAGGTAAGTGCCATAAGTCACGTTTCTGTACTCATCCCAGGAGATAAAGCCGTCTTGATTCATATCAAACTCCTGCCATTGGTTTTCAACATTGTCATATATGTACTTCTTCTGGGCGTGCTTAATCCAGGATTTCAGCTCCCCCTCCGTCACAAACCCATCTTTATCCACGTCTATTTTATCTACAATCATTCTACAAGACAAAACAGTTACGTTTCAAGGTGCCGGCTCCACAAAGCTTTTTCCCCCAGATAGTAGGGACCTACCTAAAGCGTAGCCGTAGGTGGCATTTTTATACTCCTCCCAGGAAACGAGGCCGTCCTCATTGAGGTCATGCCCCTTCCACTGTCGCTCTACATCCTCGTAAATCCAGCGCTTTTGTGCAAACTTAATCCAGTCTTTGAGTTCATCCACAGTGACAAACCCGTCCTTGTCGCCATCTATTTTACTTACAATTTTTCTGTAGAAAATGCAGAGAAATCCAGCAAGAGGTTAAAAGGACACACAAAGCTCTGGACATAGCCAGGTGTGTGCTGTGACCAGAGATGTTGCCTAGGGCTGACACAAAATAAAAAATTGTCCCCAGACAAAACTGCCAGACAGGCAACTGAATTCTTTTCAGTGGCCCATTACTGGTCTGTAGTGAGGCCTCTGGACAAGGTAAACATGATATGTGCCTGGTACATGGGGCCCCAAAACAAGCCCACCCTCTCCTGTCTGTTAGGTCTGAGCCTGTGGTGAGAATCCAGGAGTAAATATCCATGCCCATCTGGGTTTTCTTTGTATCAAACAAGTAAATCTTTGTATTTTTCTTTCTTAAACTTTCTTGGTAAATAAGCACAACCACTAACAGTGGTTTTCTAAAAATTCAAAAAATTAAAATCAGTCTTTAAAAATATCTGCTTTTAGAAAAAGGTAATACTTTTGTTCAAAACATAAAGATATCAAAAACAGTTCTGGGATCACTTATATTTCAAGGCACAATTATTTTATTTTATTTTTTTAAGGCACAGTTATTTCAAAAACAAGTATACAGACAGGAGGGTATTTATCTAAAAAAAATTCCAACAGCTCTTTTATACTTTGTTGAGTGGGAAATTTATATATAACCATTAAAACAGAACTTTGAGAACCAAAAAAGTAAAACAAAAAAACCCTCAAAAACAGAACTCTGAAGAAATGAGGTAGGGATGTATACAGTATCTTTGATCGTGAGACTGTTAGTAAGCGAAGAGGGTTAGTGTGCAGAACCTAAAACAAAACAACAAAACTAAACAATCAATATACCTCTCCTTTTATGAACTTTCCAATCTGTCATGTTAAGGATTTAAAAGGGTTGATGATATCAAAACTCCTGCTTAATTATATAATCAATTACTTACAGAGGCTCAGACAATCTATGTATATCATAAAAGTAAATGGCCCAGTTTGAAATTGGAACTCTAAGTCAAAACTTCTAATACAAGTGAAATCTTGGCATACTCTTACACTCAATTGAAAAGACTGTCTCTTGGTAGGTAGCAAATACTGTAATGTCATTTCTACTTTGTGTTAATTTCATGAATATAACATGGGACCAAGCATGGTGTTGCACGCCTATAATCCCAGCATTTGGGAGGCTGAAGCAGGCTTGCCAAGAGTTCAAGGCCAGTAAGGCCAGCCTGAACTACATACACAACAAGACCGTGTGTGTGTGTGTGTGTGTGTGCGCGCGCGCGAGCACGCATGGGGTATTATATCTCACATATCTCACATGGGGATGTGATGAATCACAGAATACTAGTGACATTGTAAATATACTCAACCTTGATATTAATATGGTATTAGCTATAACTATTATTACCTAAATCCTATAAATAATAAACATTTCCTTCAAAAAATATATAATCTTGTAGCTTTAGCTCTGAAATGCTAATAGAAAAGGTAAAGTTGAAGGGCTGGGGATTTAGCTCAGTGGCACAATCCTGAGTTCAATCCCCAGTATGATGGCGGGGAAGGGGGGAGAGTATCTCTTAAATACCCTCCTTTATCTGTATTTACATAAGGGGAAATATTTTGTAACTTTTTATCTGTAGAAATTAAAAACTATTAATAGATTAAATACCGAAAACATTATCTATACAGTAATGGGATCCAGTTTGTGTGCAAACAGTGCCACTGTGCCATTATTAAAAAAAAAAAAAAAAAGCATAATGTATCAGAATGCTTTCTATCCCATACTATAAATACCATTAAATGTATTTTTAAACTATTATGACTAGCCTGGAGGATTGCCCAGATTAAAGGATATTTTTTTATTTGGGAGGTCACATATGGTCTGCCATGCATGCACATGCATGCACACACACAGACACATAAGTAACAACCCTTTAAAATGTAAAAGCCATTCATGTCTGTGGACCATGTAGCTTGCAGGCAGTTATAAAAGTGTATTGGTGGACACGTCTATTTATGGCATGAAGCTCTGAACTCTGATCTTTAGGGCCTGTGTAAATTTCTGAAGCTAATGTAGGAGCCTGTGACACTGGAAAACTATGGATGTAATTATGGTGCCACTAAGCAAGCATTTATTCTAGAGCAGACACAATGCACTTAGTAGAACTCATGCTGTGCCTCTTAAGAGGTAACACATGCTCTACATTTCAAGTGGCATAAAGCAAACACCTATGTATACAGTCTCAGCACTCTGGAAGGCTGAGGCAGGAGGATCAAAAGTTCAAGTGCAGCCTGGACAACTTAGCAATTCAATGAGAAGGCCCTGGGTTCATTCCTCCGAATCACCAAAAAGAAAAAAAAAAAAAAAAAAAAAAATTCAAACCAAAAACAAAATTCCCTCATATTTATGTTCATGTGTGTACTTCTCTGGGGAAGAACGCTTGGCTTCTCCCCAAGGGTCTGAACCTGTGATTCCTCAAAAGGATAAGTGAGAACTTTTTCACATCAAGGACTAACACCTCAGAGCAAAAACCTTCATCTGAAGGAAGCACACGAAGGCTTTTTTTTTGCCAGGAGAGGAAAGAATGATAATGTACACGCCTGCCTGGCAAGCGCAAGGTCCTGAGTTTGATTCCCAGTACCAAAAA